CGACCCTGAGATCATGACCTGAGCCGAAACCAAGAGTCGGATGCTTAACTGACTGAGCCCCGCAAGTGCCCCTATTTGGTCAACTTTTTAATGAATTTACATAATAGCAACCTTTTACTGAATATATACTGTGTGCCTGACAACGTGCAAAGATTTTATTCTGTTCCGTGCATCTTAAAACGCCCACTGACATGGATGCTCTGGCCCCGTTTTGCAAATAAGGGAAAAATGTGGAGAGGGGAGGGGCTCGCCCAGAGCCTCACATCTAAGAGGCAGCACCGGGACTTGAAGCCGGCTAGGTCTCCTCCCAAGGCCCTTGTTCTAAAACCAGTGGAGGAAGAAAGAAGACCAGCACTACTAAATAAAATCCAAAGGAATCCCCCCCCCCCTGTGTTGTTTTTCCGTGTTTCTCCCCTGTTTTACACGCACCAGGCTTCAGGCAGCTAAACTGGAGAGCTGGGAAGAGGCCTGGCGAGGGAGCAAAGAGATGATCAAAATAATGTCCAGGAGAGAGAGAACCACAGAGGGGCCACCAAAGCCCAAGGGACCCATGAGTGGGAGCAGCGCCCAGCTTCTGCTCCCTGTTTCCTCCCCGGAGAATTGAGCGTTTCACAGCCTTGGCACCACTGCCATTCAGAGCAGAGAATTCTTTGTTGTGGAGGCTGCCCTGTGCATTACAGGACGCTCAGCAGCACCCCTGGCCTCTGCCCACTAGATGCCAGGAACACCCTCCTCCCCCCACCCCCCACCCCAGTTTTGACAAGCCAAAGGCATCTCTGGACTTTGCCAAGTGTGTCCTTGGTGGGGGACAGGAGGTGCAAAAGCACCCTTGGTTGAGAACCGTAGGCTTATTCCAGGAAGCCCTGCCCTCTGCTCAATCCCAGGATGTTGCCTGTTTCAGTGACCTTACGTCCACTCCAGCCCCAAATGCACCCCACTTTGCCCAACTATACTTTCCTTCGCGCACCCCTGACTCTACTCCAGCTGGTCTCTCGTCTCCTGTGATCACCTGGCTCACCCGTCCTCTCTGAGCCTCCCCCCTGCAGATGGCCTCCAGCCGCTACCTGTTTCAGGTGACACCTGTCCCGTGGGCACCAACCCCTCCTCCTCTTTGAAGCTCCCCATAGCCCGCCGAGGCCTCTGGCCACTCTCTGCCTTGCTTTCTGTCATGCTCCACAGCCTGGCTGGCCCTCCTTTGTGATGTTGTCTGCCTGCTGGGGTTCCTGGGGAGCAGAGATCCAATCATAGTCTCCCCGCGTGCCCCTCACATGCACAAGACAGCGCTAGGTATAGAGAACATGTTGGTCGCAGAAACTCTTTCAGTGAACGCTCTGAGTAAGGCCTTAGCCAGCCCCAGGGGTTAAGCCCACTGTGTCTGCCTGCCTGCCTGCCTTCCACCTCGTGGCCCACCCACCCATGGCCGCATGGAGCCCGGGCAGCTGGGGGGCAGCGTTAAGGACTTGTTTCTCCCTCCTGCAGCCTCCCTGGCCATGAAGGTGTGCAGGAAGGACTCCTTAGCCATCAAACTCAGCAACAGGCCCTCCAAGCGGGAGCTCGAAGAAAAGAACATCCTTCCCAGGCAGACGGATGAAGAGAGACTGGAGTTGAGGCAGCAGATCGGCACCAAGCTCACCAGGTAGGACAGCCCGAGGGGCCGTTGTGCGGACTCGAGTAGAATGCAGTCTCCATCCCCAAATCCGTCCCGGGTGTCTCTGGAAGAGCTTGCTGTGGGGAAAGTCCGTGGGAAGCATTCTAGTCTTCCCCAGCTTTGCTGTTATGGTCCCTTCCCATTCACTCAGCCACATCTTGGAACTTTTACCTGAATAAAGGCTCAGGGAGAAGCTGAAGGACAGATTTCCAGGGAGAATAACCGCCTTAGAAACACCACCACCATCCAAGAGCTAGGAAGACCTGCGTCCACTGGCGTTGGGTTTGGTGAAGCTCAGTGCCATCAGATAAGCACATTTTCTGCCGTGCTGCGCAACTGGGTGAGGCCAGTGGTGGATCATGCCTCGTCACGAGCTTGTGAGCCTTCCTGAGTGGTTGCGTCTGTGTAGAGATAGTACGGGTGTACTTGTGGTGCTGTGTTATATTAATGTATTAAACACCTACATATGTGTTTAGAACCTAGGGCACGTGTATGTGGTATTAGCTGACATTCGCGGGGTGCTTATTATCTGCCTGCCATTCTTCTAAACATTTTACGTGTATTAAATCATTTCCTCTTTGAGCCTCCCTGTGAAATGGGCATTTGTGTGCCCATTTCACAGAGGAGGACGCGGACACCGAGACCTGTAATTGCCTGCATCATGCTGCGCAGAAAGGCTCCAGAGCGCCCCCTCTTGACCAAATGTATTACGCCCCCCTCCCCGCCCCCCATTCTAACCACTGTCGCGGGGAGCCCTTCCTTTGTACCAGGCACTGTGGCAAGGCTCTGAGCTGCCCTCTGCCTCTTCCTAGCGGGACAGCCTCGAGTAAGTCACTTGTTCTGTCTGCCTGTTTTTCCGCGTTTGTAAAATGGGAGTTGTAAGGATTCCGAAACATAAGTAAAGCATCTAAACCCGTTCCTGGCCCGTGGTGAACACTCCGTTACCCTCCCAGCAACCCCGTCCGGTAGCTTTCATTATCTTTACAAGTACAGGTGAGGAACGTGGCACCTAGAGAGCTTCCAAAGGTGTGGACGTCATCCAGCAGCGTACTGGTGCTCCCCCCTCCCGCCTGACTTAGGTCCTCACTTAAGGGCCCCTTTCTGCCTCACGGTTAACTTGGTTCCGTCCCGGAGGATGCTGTTTTAATGGTACCGGGCTGCGTAAATTGTTCAGCGCAGACGGATGATTTGGTCTTGTGTCACGCAGACTTCAGAGCCCTAGAATGGAGATAATCTCACCACCCGCATGTGCACACACACTCTCACACGCTCATTGAATGTGGTAACATGTCCACACGGTAGTGATCCACAGATCTCTCTTCGTTCTGTGGTGACAGCTGCTTACCGTGTCCTGGGGAGCCTGGGTTGGTACACATTCTTCCTTCTGTGGAACAAAAATCTTTGTCCCTGCAACTCCTCAGAGCCTCATCCCTGTTATCATCCCTCTTGGGAGACAGAGATACTCCTCCCCCAGGATAGAGCCCAGATCTTCTTTCTGGGCACGGGATGGGTGGATATAGCTTTGGGCCGCTTCCTGAACCCGCTTGTTCAGTTTCATACCTAATACAAAAAGGGCCGTCTTTTAGGGGGCGAGGGAAAAAAGGAGCAGTTCCTTGACCCCAGCCCATCTTTTCAAAGGCAGCTCCCCCTACCCTGAGGGTGGGCACCCTTTGTCATGGTTCTCTCCCCTTCATTCCTGCTTTCCCAGCTTTGCTACAGAACAAGCAGAGCCCCAGGTACGTGAGGGCAAACTGGAAGAATTCTCTGTGGGGAGTGAGGTGAGGGAGATGCCGGCGCATCTGCGGCCCCAGGGTGGCATCGTCCATGGGGAGAGACGGGGAAAGACAGGACATGTAGAAGGCAGCCCTGCCCTGGGCTCTCTGCTTATCTGTTGTAGAGCAGTTCTACCGAGAGGTAACTGACAAAGTAAAACGGGCCATTGATGTCCCAGAACAGACTCCTGAAAGGGAGACGGTGCCCAGCTTCTCACGCCTGAACCCACGTTCCAGTACCGCCCCCATGACTGGCTGGTGGCAGTGGGGACGAGACCGCAGGCGGGAAGAGACACAGACCATGCACACGCTGGAGGAAGCTCTCCACAAGTGAAGCCTCATCCCACCCCTTCCTCCCCTAAGGACACTTAACTCTGCTTGGAATTCCTAACATCCCCTGAAGGTTGCCGTTCCCAGCTCTCTCTCTCACCCTGGTTGTGGCCTGGGGGAGAAAGAGGGGAGTCGGGACGGTCATGTTGGGAGGATTCAAGGCGTTGAGCTGGCCTGTGTCCTTGCTCCGGATTCACCTCGTCTTTGTTCACTCTTTAGCTAGGGAGTTTGTTTCCTCGTGGCCAGACGCTGGGCATCTCCAGCCAGACTGTAGAAAGTGGGCCTAAAAGACGGGACGTCGGGAGTGTTCAGTGGGTTGACCAGATAGTGCAGAATCCAGCAAATCAGGGGGACGGGCCAAGTCCACGTCTCCCAGTCTTCTTTGAGAGAGTGCAGCTGCTGATTCACACCCAAGGAGTTTTCAGGACCATTTCCTTTGGGGTGAGAACCCAGCTCTGTGCTTCCAGCCACTCACTCGCTCATCCTGATGCCAGGGCCAAAGAAAGGGGAAATCTGAGAAGCAGAAGGTGATGGGCAGCGGCAGACCTCGTCATAGGGCAGGAGCCTTGGCTTCCAGTTCTGATTCTGCGGTTTCCTGAGCAGGCATCTGTCCTGGGTCTTCACTTCCTAACCCGAGGGGATTAGATTAGGTCATCTGATGACCTAGCACCATCCGTGAGTTTTATTACCAAAAAAGTAACTAATAGAACATAGGAACCTGCATTAGAGTTAGAAGTTACGGGGCTGTGGCATTCTTTGGCTCTTAGAGGGTCGTATCATCGTGCTGGAAATCTTACATGGTTTGAAAAGCACGTAGCCCAGTCTGCAATGCTCCGGGAGTGACAAGTAAGACACAAAACGTAATTTTAGCCTGGTAGTTTTAATAGCATAAAAACAAACAAACAATGCAGCATTCCAAGAATAATCCCAACTTGGAGGTGGGATGCAGAAGCACCAATAAAACAATGTCAAACATTAACGCAGAGTTTCTCCATAAGAATGCACAAACATCATTCTTCCAGAAATATGTTCTCATTGATGCCATCGGGCACACTCTCCAAAACCTCAATCAGTGAGTCATCTGGATGTCTGACAGTAAATAACTGTTTCAGTCAGTTGCCATTTGAGAAATGTGGGCCACCCTTGAGACATGAACATGGTCGACTGGGTGCACGTTGCTCTGCGCCTTATGTATACAGACTCAGGATGGGTGCAGAGAACCAAGGGGTGAGCAAGCCCATCGGGTGGGGGGTGGGGGATAAAGGTAGCAGAACGTCTATTTAAATTTATTTTGTATCAAAAAAAATTTATTTTGTATCATTCTTTTTAAGCCGAGTGCTTGTGTTTGTATTGTAATATGCATGGCGTATGAATGCAGTGGTACTAGTATGTACTTAAAAGAAATGGCATATGGGGGGTGGGTGCCTGCCTAGATTTTCTTGATGGACTTCTCAAAAAGCGTGGAGTCCACAGATATAAGGGCCCCTTCCCAAGCTAGGTGAGGAGGACTTTTCATCTCTGGTGACCTCTGGTCTGTGGAAGTGTGCAAGCTCAGGGCAGTCTCTCACCTCCCCCCGCCCCCCCCCCGCCGGAGCCCTGCCTGAGTGCAAGACCCCACTCTTTTCTCTCTGGGTCTCCTCTTAGGGCCCTTCAACCTGAACCCTAGGAGCGGTCAGCCTGATCTGCCTTCTGGCCCTTCTCCACTTTGCAGCCTGGGGCGCCAATTGGCCCACGAAGTGAAATTCTCCCCCGAGGCTGGGGCATAGGGCCCCTGGGAATGGGGCTCTCAGGGACCAAAGAGAAGCCTGATGCCCCCAAACATGGGCTGTTGTCTCTGAGATATCCTTTAGAAAGTGAGTCATCCTGTAAGCCACCAGGACTGCTTGTTTTAAAAGGGAGGAACTGAGACTCTAGAACGTGGCCACTGCATTTAGTCCTTTCCTTGTGGAGCAACAAGCTTTCTAGACCTAGCCGGCTCGGTCCTCTCCCATCGAGACCCTCTCCTCCGTGCCCTCCAGTACCCTCCAGAATGTTGAGGTCAGACAGCCGGAGGAGAAGCCTGGGAAGGCAAATCAAATGGAAGGCGCCTCACAGTGTATGTGGGAGTGTGTAATCTGAAGCACGCACGGGCCTAAGTGAGGGTTGAGGCCGTCTGCTTCCCTGACACACTCGTTCCCTGGACATACCTCTTCTTGCTTTCAGTATCAGCCTTCCACCCAGGGGGGAAGGGCCTTCATCTTTTGTGCAGTCATGGTTGACCAGACTTTCTCAGCACCACCCCCGCTGGATCAAGCACACCCGCACTTGTAATTGGAAACATCTCTATGGGGAAGCTCTTGGAAGCCTTGCTCAGTTTGGGGAAGAATGTTTTTCCTTGTGGTGTCCTCTCTGGACCAGACGTAACCAGTGATTCGGGCTACTCGCCCATGATTCCACCCGACCATCAAAGGCAGATACTTAATTTAAGCTACTTGGAGTACTGGTTCCTAGGGTGGCCATAAGAGCGAACCAGAGACTGACCGGCTTAAACTAGAGAAGTGATCGTCTCCCAGTTCTGGCAGCTAGACGTCAAGACCAAGGGGTCGGCAGGGTTGGTTCCTTCTGAGGGCTGTGAACGGCCGCGTGTGCCATGCCTTTCCCCTGGCTTCTGGCCATTTGCTGGCATTCATTGGCTTTGTAGATGCATGACCCTGATCTGCATCTTCATCTCTGCTTCTCCCTGTGAGCAGGTCTGTGTCAAAATTTCCCCCTTTGCATAAGGAGACCGGTCATATTGGTGAGGGCCCACCCATAACAGTCTTGTTTTGACTTGGTTATCTCTATAAAGACCCTGTCTCTAGATAAGGTCATATTCTGAGGTCCTAGGGTTAGGACTTCAACATATGA